AAGGTGCTTATGCAATTGCTTTGTCTCTGTTAAACAAGTAGGTGTAACCTGTTGCCTTGGCAAGTACCAAGTGTGCCGATCAAATTTTATCTGCTGTAATTTCATTCCAACAACTTTTATTTTTGCCTGTAGCTCCAGGAGTGTGAGCTTCCTTAAGCCTTAGTACTCAATCATGGATTAATACTGTATGCCACTGAATGTCTCTCAGTGGCAGCTGAGATTATCAGTGTGTGGTATCCTCTGTAAGATTCAAATCCTACAAAGCAATTTGAAAGTGATTTGGGATGAAGGTGTGAGAGATGTAGTTCTTGTTTTGCTGTGCAGGTAGAAATTTAGAACAGGCTCGTGGTTTCTTACGTGCTAATACAAATTTAGGCAGTGCTAACCTTTCTGTTTGTATTTTTTAAATTGCATCTTAGTTTCCTACTGCTAGAAGTTTATGGTTAAAAATACCAAATTCTATGACTTTGTTACTAAAGAATTCATTTGAGCATACTAACTTCACAGTTTGTCTCCAAAGAGGAACTTAGTATTTCTTTGTGTAGATTTTTTTAATGCCATTTTTGCTGGGGTTTGTGAAAAATGAGTTGTATATTTTTAGTTTTGGCAATATTTAGGTGTTAACTTCGAAGCAGTGGCTTAGGTAAAATGTTACGTAGTATTTGAAATTAATGCTCTGCAGAATCTTTAGTGCTTTGATGTAGCTGGTTTGGGAAAAAAACTCTCGGAGCTGGAAAACTTTAGTACATCTTCAGGGACTCTAAAACAAGATTTTTTTTTTTTTTTAACCTTTGTACTCTTTGGATTTGTGTCGTAAATGTATATTTGGATACATGCACGCACACACGGATGTGCACACAGACACTATAAACTTCAATATACATTTTTATTGCTGGTTGTGCCTGCTTTTGTAGATAAGATGTTAGGTCTTAAAAGTATTACTACTTGTAGGGATTAAATAAAGCTTTCTAGGTGATTGTGGTGTCTTTAGTACAATTAAATTTTTACTTTTGAGGAGCAGGTTTATATGAGCAGTAAAATTTATTCCAAATCTCTTGTTAAGTGTTATATATTGTTTACCACTGAGTTTTAATTTCTCTTGTGAACTGGTACCAAATCACACCAAAATCCTGCACTGCAGGTCTGTTCTCCCAGTTATTTTCAAACTTTTCCTTTTGTCTTACTCTTTAATTTTTGAAACAGATATTATTTTTTTCTTTAGCTCTCCCTTGTGCTGCACGTACTAGATTTGGGCAACATTATGTTTCATAGAGATTTCCAGAACATTTGTAATCATCTCATCTTCTCCCCCCTTCTCTTCCTCTCTCAGTTGTCATAGTTCCCTGCTTTTCTTATCTCTCCTTTTAGTGCCGCAGCTTTCAGATGATAATTCACGGCTCGAGGAACAGCTGCTGCATAATAGCTGAATGAGACTCAGCTCCACTTAAGGCTGACCTAACACGAGAATAAATGAAGAAATTTGTGCTTTGCATGTAGGCTTACCTATGAGACCTTTTTTCCAGCTTGGGCGTGTTAGTGTCATGACGGGAAGGTGGACCGTTGATGGCCTCTGTGGCTTCTCCTTGCCAGCTGCTCTAGGGGTAGAAATACGCTGGGGGTGGTGGCGCAACGAAGCGAGGTGTTGGAGTTCTTAATGTTTTTCAAGAAGGTCACCCGTTTCTAACTGTGAGTTGCTTTTTTTTTTTTTCCCCTACCACTTGTTTATTCATGCTCCCATGGCCAAAAACGCCGCAGCCTTTGCAGTAGGAACAGGTGGAGCGACACGTTGTACATGGTCATGCTGTGCTTTGCCAAGCCACCCTGCTTATTTCCTTTCATTTCCTCCGGGCGTGCAAGCCAATGTTCTCGTAATCTTTTGCGCTAGGGGCCTGAGGCCACCAAGCTGAGCTGGAAAGCATCCTGCCAGTTTAGTACACGCAGCCTAGGGGTTACAGCTTATTTTGGGGCTGGCTGGCGAGGTTAGCTGTGGCAGCCCTATCTGTGCTGCACAGATGTCTGGGCTGCTCCTAAGTCAGCTCCTCAGCTGCTGCAGTTTATGGTGCAGTGCTGTAAAGAAAGCTGTCATCTATTTTTGTCAGACAGATGCTTAAAATGTTAATATTCATTGGGAATGCTGTACCTGTGTATATTCAAGGCACTAGTCTAGCAAGGAAATACTTATGAAGAAAAATCTTTTTGTTTTACTGTTAATCAGTATATGAACTTTTCTTACTATGACTGTTAGATACAGCCTTACTGATGTTCTGGTGGTTTAAGGATACAAGCAAGTTAAGATTGGTAGAAGACACATTTGAAGAAAAAGCGTGTGTCTAGAAGCTTGGCTGATTTTTTTTTTTTTCCTGTCTCTAGTTGTAGACCTTGCCTTATCAGGAGAAATACCTTAATTTAAAAACATTTTCTCCATAACTGTCTTCTGACTTCATGGGTTAGAAGGGGGGAATAAAATAGTGTAAAGGATACCTGAGGCCTTGAAACTGATTTGAAGGAAAGAATGCTGCTGCAGGCTTACTGTATGCCTTAGTGTGCTCTCACCAGGTATATTCTCAACGTTATTTTCCAATTTCCTTTTCCTGTCACTAATTCCGCAGTTAATGTTTTTCCAATTTCAGTAGGTACTGGTTGTTGCAGGGATATGAGGGATGAGCATTGCTATGTTAGTTTTATTTCCTCCTTGCTATTAGGTCATAAACACCGTTTGAACAGAAGTCTCTGTCCACTCAGGGTTAGTGGTTTAGATGACTTTAAATGACCTGAATGTATTACCATGGATATTTTGAATGTGATGGAGTTTAAACAGATGCATACGGAGGTCGGTCTTGTTTTAAAATGAGAAGATGGATTTGGTAGTTGAACAACGAGTATGTGGATGAAATGGATCTCTAAGGCCTTTCATTTGGTGTTTAAGAAGTGCCAGTGATGGAAAAATCAACATGGCTCCTATGAAATGAATTTAAAAATTGGCTAATTAATAGGCTTTAATACAATTACAAACGTGGACTGACCATCCAATGTACACCTTGCTGTAGGGGATTTGCTGCCATTGGTACTCAACCATGTTATTTAACACTTCATTAATGACCTGAAAGAGGTCATAAAATTGTTATCAATAAAGTTTGCAGCCAATTGAAATCCTAGGGGCAAAAAATGCAGGCATAGTTATGGAAAGCCAGGCTGGGGTATTGGGAACTGGTGGGGTATGTGGGAAGGGAAGCCAGCATCTGTGGGTCAGTGTAGGCAATCAGCAGGCTTTGGCAGTCAGTGTCCTGTGGCCCTTGCCAGCGTGCTCTTGAGTGTATGCGAAGTGTTACAGATCTCGTAAGACCCCTTGTTATTAGGCAGTTTAGTCTGGTCTGCTTCTAGAATACAATATCTGCCTGGGATATTGATGTGTCAGATGTTGAAATCCAGGAGAGAACAGAAGAATGTGAGAAAGATGTTAAAACAGGCACATAATAAGAGGCATGCGGAGATGAGCCTGCTAAACTTGATGTTCGTTGATTCCCAGCTAACTGTTTATAATTACAAAGTGTTTCCAGTGTAAGGCTCCTAATATAGTCCTGCTCTGTCTTTATTTAATAGGTGTGCTTTATGTTAATGCTTATATAAGACACATCTGCAGGTGGTCAATTCTTTGGAATTTAAAAATGAACGTATTTTATTGAAGTAGTTTGTTCAGAAGGTTTGGCTTGGCTGGATCTGCATCTGATGTGATTTATGATGGTTTTACACTTGCATCCTGACTAATGTTTTATCTGACTGTCTTGGTGGAAGATAAGGATTGGATGAGCAAGAGGATAAGCTTCATCACAGGTGGAGTCTCTGCAGAATTAAACGTATTGTTTGCCTGGAAAGCAAGGGTATACTGGAAATATTTTTCCATAAAGCCATGTTTAACGTCTATATAGGCCTGTCACGTAATGTTTAAAAGACGATATTTCCAAGGTCATATCTTTCTAAGTGTTTGCATTTTTAGGTTTTAAGAGCTGTTGTAAGCATGTGCAAGTTTGAATTCACGTTGTGCTTCTCTGAGATGATTTGAAAAGTGGATTATGCTAGTATTATAGAACATAATTTAGCATGCAGACCTTGTTATGTGGTAATAGTTTGCAATATAGAAAAAACTTTGCTTCGTACTTGGATCTCAAAATTCAGCCTTGATTCTTGCAGTGGAAAAATTGGGGGGGGGGGGGGGTTACTGAATGACTCGTTCTCACATCGGGGTATGATGATTTAAAGAGTCAGTTCTCACAGCTGATCTGTCCATAAATACCAGAATGAAGATGGTAGTCCATATGCAAGTCGGACTTCTCTTGAAACCCGGAGCAGACTGTTTTCTCTGGCAATCCCATGGAAGCTCCTCTTAAAGTGTCTTGATGCTTTTCCTCATGTCAGAGAGAGTTTTCAAACATACTGTGAAATGAGCAAACCTCTACTAAGATAGAAGAAGGGTGTGAGTTTTTGGTGGGGTTTTTTGTTGTGTGGGTTTGTAGTGGTTTTTTTGTTCTGGTTGGCTTTTTTAAAACAAGGTTTTTATAATCAAGTAGTTGAGTTCATAATGAATTAGCCTTAAAACTTTAGAGCACCTAAGCGTTTTTTCCTCACTTTTTATCTCTCTAGGTTAGTTTATTTTTAAACATTTGTTAAGTTAAGAGAAAATCTCTCTGGAGGGTGTCATGTCCTTCCCCCCCCTCTGTCAAATGCTACTAATGAACATGGTGGCCGTGAGCGTGCTGCGGGTGGCTTCCCGTCAGAATTACTTTTTGTAAAATCGCAAGGAAGCAAACATTTCTCGTATCCTCCCATTGTGTTGTTTCCTGTGAAGCGGCAGACTGGATGCGTGTCCTGGATACAGCCTTTTTTGTGGCACCATACGTGTTGGGATGATCCAATCAAATCATTCTTGGTATCCGCTATAGTCTCGGTGTAGCAGGAAACGAGGCTTCCTCGCATCCTGTTGTTCTCCAGTTAGCCTGACTTTGGAGAGCTCTTGGCTCTAGCAGAATCCAAAATGAAGGTGAGCTTAAAGTAGATTTAGGATTTTTTTTTTTTTTTTTTAATTTTTGTAAATTTAAGCTATAGTTTCTAACATTTTTCTTAAACATTTCTTTTTTTAATAGTTTTCTCTCTCTCCCCTGTAGTACCTTTCCGATTCAATTCTGGTGTCTGCACAAGTGCCTGTATCTCTTGTACTTCCTTTTTTTGGGATCAGAGCCATTATTTCATGACTCTGTTCATACTTTTGATTTGCTTGTTTAAAAGCTACCACAATAAGCATATTGCTAACAATGAAAATTTTACACTCCTGATGCTTTCTTGTTCCATAACAGCTTAATTTTTTTTCCCAATTTGAGCAGTGGTTAAGCTAGTCTGCTTTTGCTTTTATGTATTCTGCTGTCACCTTATTGGTATCTTTTCTCATCTCTTATAAATTATGCTATTAATAAAACTTAACATATCTTTAGTCTCTTTGTGTAAAATCAGATAATTTCTTCTTTGCTTAATGTCTTTTATTGTGCACATAGCTTTTAAATACTTCCTCATGTCCAGGAAAACTCTACAAAGTTCACATCGAGCCAATTCCCTGGTCCCTCTCCTTACTTCTTGCAGCTTCAAATAAATAAGAGGAGTAGTTAAATTTTCTGTAGCCCAGTGAAACTTGGTGAAACAGTTATTTGATTTATTTTATGTGAGTGATAATTCCTTGGAGAGTATTAGTGTTTGCCTCTGCTTGATTTTGTGTCTGTTCTGTGGCATTGCTCTTCTGAGCTGTATGCACACTACCTGAGCTTGAGAGATGTCAGCACCTGTACAGCTGAGGTAGAGCTGCTGCTCGCTGGGACCAGAGATGATCCTCAGTGTGAGGGGAAAAAAATATGCATGTTAACATATGCAAGTACCTCAAATGCTGTGAATGTTTTGGGAGATTTTTTTTTTCCGTTACTGAATAATACTGTCATTAAATGTTGCCCAAATCTGCTCTGCCTTTGTTAGTAGATCACATAACCAGTCACAACTGGTCTGGCAGTCCCTTCTGTAGTTACTTTAGGTAGCTTTCATGAAAATTTTCACTTCTCTCAGGTTTAACCAGCCTCCGTGTTTCTCCTCCCAGTCCTCCTTTGTCCCTTACGCTCTTCTCCCCTGGGAATATGGGTTTTTCCTCTCCTGCCTCTGAAGGCTGCTTTCTAGGGTACAGACTTTCTGATAGTGCCTGTGGGATGGGTCTGTTATCAGGAAAATAAACAGTTTTTTGTTGACTTTTCAGATAAAAGCAGCTATGCTGCAGGGGAAACTCGTTTTCTGTTTCTTAAATCAGTTGGCACAACTGTAATAGCTGTCTTTTATTGTCCTCTTTATAGTCTTGCACAAGGGAATACTGTGACTCCTTTCAACCTATGCAGAATCTATTGCAAGAGCTATTTTCATGAGGCTTTAGATGAGTGTTTCCATTACCTCAGGCAAATATTATGGGTCTCTTTTTTGCTTTTTTTATCTCCTCTTTCCCCCCCTGAAAATCCAGATGTTTAATGTCATCACCCAGCGCTTGAAAGTTTCTGGAGTGTTTTCTACAAGAGATTTGGTTCTCTTTCCCACAGTTAAAAAATAAAAAAAAAAAATAACCCCCAGCTTTCATCCCTGCCCTTCCCAAACTTCATTCTCCATCTAACCTGTCCAGCAACTTCACTCTTTGGAAAACTCATTAATTTTCAGGAATCCTGTCGTCTTCTGTGTCTTGTAGGGTAGAGATAGCATGTACGTTGTTGTAGTACTTAAAAGTATTTGTAGTAATTTAAAAAATATTTTATGACCCATCGGGTACAGTGCCTGCGAGCTGCTACAGAAAACGAAGAGTATGCCAAGAGTAATGGTACCCAGTAGCTTTTTTGGCCAAGCTGTCTGAGGAAAGCTTCTCTTCTGATAATTATGTTTTATTCAACTTGTGTGTAATTTAGATGACACTTGGTATTTTTAGCTTTTATGTTCTTCATTTTTTCTCAAATGCAGCTGTTTCTATATTCTCTTTCTATTTAAAAATGATGGGGTTTGTTCTTTTGTTTGTTTGTTTTTAAAAAAGGGGAAAAAAGCCCCCACAGTTTTACTGGTCCATTACAGCCACTGAAAGACTGACACTTTGATAGCTTCTACAGTCATGGTTTGCATGATAGCACAGAAATGCTTGGTTTAAAGGCTTGTTTCTACGTCTTATTCTATGTTCTTCTTGTTTTCAGACTTTTGATGCAAATGACCTGTATCAGGGACAGAATTTCAGCAAAGTTCTCAGCTCTCTTGTGGCTTTAAATAAGGTGACTGCAGGTAAGTAGGCTCTGCTCTGTCATGGTGCTTGTTTACCTTACCTTCAGCTTATATCAGTGTGTATACCTGTTGCTATACTCAGGATAAAATGAACATGTGCAGTGTTTTAGAAGAGTTTCTTTGTTACAGTTTGTTGTTATGACTTTGGCAGTGGCTCTCTGGATTCTCTTGTCTCCTCTTCTGCAGAAGGAAGCTTTGCAGTGGAGCTAAGGCTGAGCCTTTTAGCTGGCAAGAATTCTTAGAAAAAGGCCCCATCTTCTTTTTTCTCCTTTTTTTTCAGTTTGGAATACTAAAAGTTGACTTTTGCCCCACTCTGTCATTCCTGTGTTTGAACACTTTTGTCAATATTTTTGTCGTGTTGTTCCCCCACCCCTACATTCCCCAGAACCATCCTTTCCTAAAAGGATAGCCAACATCTCTGATTCCTTAATCCACGCATGTTTCATTTAGGTAGCAGCTAGAAGTTATAAATGACCTACCTCAAGTTCTTTGTGGGGAAGAGAGAGCTGTAGAAATAGCACACAGGTGCGAGGTTTCCGTGCTTTCTTGTAGGGTGAGGCTGTGCTAAACGATGTCAACTGGACCCTGGGACAGTCAAAAAGTGTTAGCATTGGTGACCCTTTTTGCTGCTCTGTGCTGGGGTTTTACTTGTCAGCAGCAAGTTCCAGTAATGGTCATGAGGTTAGAGTCTGGTGAGAGAGAGAGATTATTTAAAAATGTACCGTGCTTGTCAGTTTTTATGTGGGGAGAAAAAGGAAGACAGGGATGGATCAGTGTTATTTTGTTTAATAGTAATAGGATAAGTATGTTATCACTTTTATAATATTCCCCTGGTCCGTTACAACAGGGATTTTTTTTGTGGCTTTCTTTTTTTCCTCCTTGCATCAGAAAACACCCCTTAGGAGTGAGTTTTACAACCAAATTCTTAGTTCTAATGAATGGGCATGGAGTAATACCATTGATGGCTTTGAAGCTACTTACACCAGTTGAAGATACTGCCTTTCATCTTAACTGCAAGTGCAAATGTAAACCATTTCAGTACATTTTTAAAGCTGCTGTCCACTGACCATAGTTGTCTTTAAAGGGGAAGAAAAGTGCGGCTGTTCAGTCCAGACATCAATCACATCAAAAAGCCACAATTGCAGCTGGCCTTAGAAAGGTCACAGGCTGATCCCTTTCATGGGAGTGGGTAGTGGTATGGAAATCAAAAATCAAAACCGCATGCAAAATGTGGTGTTGCTTCATTCCTAGGAGCAAGCAGAGCTGCATGAATCTTTCCTGACCAACTGTTCTTCCAAATGATTTTCTTTAATTGGGTGACTGCGTAGAAGGCATTTTAGACTCTATCTCCCTACTATAGTGCTGGAAGATAGCTTTCAGATCCTCATCTGGGTCTGCAGGAATTTCAAGTATACACATGTTCACACTCCATCAAATTCTTTAAGTTCAGGAGGGGTAGGATCAAGGTCTCAGTTGCTGTGTGTAGACAGATAAGGGGAGAGGAACTGGTATAGGGAAGCTGAGATAGTGGTGGAGAAGAAGGAAGGGTGTTACAAACCCTGAAAACCTTTGGATGGATGGATAGAAGTGTAAAGCTTCTGTGAAATCTACCAAATTAATATTTGTCAAACATGCACATTCCGTTGCCAGCCAAGATTCCTGAGGTTTTTAGCAGCCGAGCTGAACTCTCTTCTGACCATAGTCCCATTGAGAAATTCATTGAACATGTTTATTTGGTATTTTAATGGAAACTTCAATGGATACATGGGGTCTGCCAGCCTTTTAAGTCTATCAAAAGTTCAAATTCATTTAAAAGTATTCAGATACTATTGGAAAAAATACTTGCGATTTGCATGTGGTTTGTTTGTAATAATTTTCCTTCTTTTCAGCTCAGACACATGCAGTTTAATTCAAGCCTCAAAAGGTGCTCTTGTGTTGGTGTATTGGATCTGCTGTTGTGAACTCAAAAATTTTAGGAATCAGGCCACACTTAAACAATTTCTAGGTAGTGTGTTTTAGGGTTACCCAGAGGCTGGAACACACTGCCATGAATAAACCTGATCCTGTTTTCCTAGGTGAACTGTGTCAAGGTATAATGCTGGATTTGGTGGTGTGTCTGTTCTGGTCGACTGCAGATAGGAAGCATAGCAAACTGGACATGGAGATGCTTCAGGTTACTTATAAGCCTTAAGTTCTATTAGTTACTGACGGTTACAGCAACTTTAAAGTTTTTGGGAGCATTAGAATTAGCCATAAAGTTATGATTTGCAAACGAAGCCCATGATGTAGTCCCATTTTTCTCCTGCCAGTCTGTGAAAACAAAGATGTATGTTCTTTCTGTAATGGACTATAATCACGAGCGTTTATATTTATACAATGGCCTTCAAATGCTTTTAGGAAAGCAGGCTCTCAAAGTGTGAGGTCTTTTATGACTTCAATGTGTAACGATACTTTCTATACAAAATATGCAACTTAATATGAATAATTCTAATATTGCACTATTTGACTAGGGTGTGTATATTTGTAGGGTTTTTTTTAAGGATAATGATTTTTGAAGGATGACAAAGACTATTTAAAAAGATGCACCTGAGAGAGGTGTTCTCTGCTCAGTCACTGCGGACTTGGAGCATCCTTTGTCAACACTTTTCTTCTGTGCTCATTGTCCATCCAAAACCCTTTCCCTCCTCCTTCATCTTGGTTGCTGTTAGATGCCGTGCTGAAGTTTAGAGGCTTTCCAGTTAAGATGAATCGAATTCTCCCTTCAGGTTTGACATGGAACAGCAGATAACGCTTTTTTCACCAGTCTCCTCATGGAGCTGCACCTGCATGTGTATTTCCCTTTGGTCAAAAATAACTCTGATTGCATAATCGTTGTCTGCTTTAGTCCAAAAGTAACTGAGAGCCTGTAGTTGTGTGCTTGTACCTCTGATGGAGGTAGAGCGTTGGAGGCAAAGCAGACTACTAGGAAGGAGAGTAACAGAGGCATAAAAATCAGGAGAGCAGTTGGGATGCTCGTGTAGTCTAGCGAAAACATCTGAGTTTGGGACAGAAAATACTGCGTTGCTTTTGGGGCTCCTTGAAGCTCAGATGCTCACTGAGTTATTTCCTTCTATGTGGGAAAACATGAGGAAAAGGAATGACTTGCCATACTCCTGCAAAGCAGCAATGTTTGTCTGCTGCAACATGTCACCTGTGCAAGGGCCCTGGGAGCATCCCCCTCCTGGGGACTTGGCTGAGAGGGCTGGGGGGAGCTGGTGCAGCCAGGACCAACCCTCGTCCCACTCTAACACTGGGGGAAGGCTCCCAGCAGTGCTGTGGGAGACCACGGCTGGCACTGACCCCGGCCCTTAGGAGCCACTTTTGGTGCAGCCCGGCTCCTGTCTGGCTGTGGCCTGCTAATCCGCATGAGGACACCCCATCCCCAGGGAGGTGCCCGATGTCCAGGGCTGGGGCTGCCTGGGTGCCCCAGCTGCCCCGCTCCTGCCTGGGGTGGTGGGATGAGCTGAGCCCTGCCCTGCCACCCCCTCAATGCCTCCCAGCCCACAGGGAGCCCAGCAGCACCCTGACTTAACGCTGCCCTTCAGATGAACATCTCGCAAATGGGCGTGCTTCTCAGAGTAGAGACAAATGAAAGAGGGAGAGGTTTTGGGGGGCTGTTGTTTTTTTCAAGCATGCAGCTTTCTTCCTTTCTACTCCTCCTATCCCTCCCCCTCCCTCCAAAGAAGAAATAGCTTAGTTGGCAAAAACGGGATGAGACAAAGGAACGTAGGAAAAAAGACAGTGGAAGGAATGTTTTAATTGAGAAGGAGATGGGGGGGGAAGAGCTAAGAAACAGATGTGGCTGGCTTGACTTCAAGCAAGTTTTATGCATTCAAAATTCTTGGCCACTAGCTAAAATGATGCTGGTTAATTACCTTTAAATAGACTGGTAGTGAGTAGGAATGGAGAAATACAACCCTAGCCCTCCTCTTCCTAAACAGCTCAAATTGTTTTCCTGTCTGTATGGGGAAGAAACTGCCAGTGTCTCAGGATTTCAGATCATTTATAACTATATATTTTTTTAAAATCTTGAATTATTGAGGAACTGCAGATATATCAAATCTGCTTTAGGCACGTGAGTTTTACAGAAGTAAACAGAAGTTATTAGAATTTGAGAGATCTGTATATATATACTTTTTCTTTTTCCCTCCTACAGACATAGGGCTGGGCAGTGATTCTGTATGCGCACGTCCCTCATCTCATCGGATAAAATCTTTCGATTCTCTGGGATCGCAGTCTTTACACAGTAGAACTTCAAAACTCTTTCAGGGACAGTATCGGAGTTTGGTAAGTTCTAGAAGAAACAAAACACGGCTGTGGTGTGATTTTTTTTTTTTTTTTTTTTTCTTTTGACAAGATTTATAAGTAAACAATAGTGTAGTAAAGTAACTGTGTTTCCTCTCTTTCAAGCCTGTAACATTCTATTTTTTGCAGCTTTTCTTATGATGTTCCAAAATACATGCAGCTTTCTGTGAACTTGTAATTATTTTTTTCATCACTTACTGCATATGCAGACAACATGGATTTATTTCTTACTTTTCAGTGTAAGGACTTGCTTTTTCAAAGGCAAAAATCTCTTTTTCTCCATGTCTGTGAGTTTAGGGATGATGATTGAAGGATATTCAAACCTCAGCAAAGGTGGTACTTTCAATGTTGGCAGTGTTGGTAGTTATTCCTGTTTTCTGTTATGTTTCAAGGTGAATCCTTTTATTAGCCTTTGGGTAACTGAGTGGTATGGGCAGTTGTTTTACAGTACAGCCAAAATCAGGAGGGAGTACTGTATTGAAAGTAACCGTGAGGAAAGGTGCTTTTAGCGACTAAAAGGTTTGCAAGGAGGGTTCAGATCCCTACTGTAAACTGCTTTTTCCATACTTGAAGGAGGCTGTTTTGAACTATGTGATGATTGCTATGTGAAACTTTAAACACAGTGCTCTCCTTAAGCGTTCTTAGGTGTGGTTTGATGTATTTTCTCTGGTAGCAGAGCCCTTGCAAGTTCTTGCCCTAGGCCACTAATTCCAGCTCCCGCTCTGCTGTTCACCGCCCACTCAGTTTTGGTGATGCAACTGTTTGTGGGACTAGCTGTTAGCTGGATTACTGAAGTAATCAGAGTTTTAAGTATTTCTATCACCTTGGTGATCTGAGCAGCTCTGTAGGAAGTTGCAAAAGGGCAGAGAAGTGCAAGAAGGAGGGAAAG